TCATTCATCAATATATCATACGACCCTTGATTTTCAAGGCGCCGGAGCACCATCTCTGTTGTTCGTTCCCTCACCCCATATATCATACGACCGTTGCTCCCTGAGCGACGCGCCGGAGCACCGCCCAAAACCCACCACCAACACCATCACTCAATGGCCTTGTAGTTCAGGCCGTGAACCTAACAGCCGAGACTATTTCCTCTCTCGGCTACAATCGTTTGATTAGAAGACGAGTTCAAACAGGCGCACCACTGATCCATCCTACACTCATCAACATCTCGATGCACGGTAGACCGTGCTGGCACGCCCGCGCACAACCGCACCGCACCCAAAAGCAGGAAACCGCATGTCAACGCATATCCCCTCGGCCCGGAACTCCAGGCCGTGAGATTTGCGCGGCAGACAGTTTTCATTGCACATTTCATATTTGGGTTGTAATTAATTTTAAATATTCTCATTGCACTTCATTAATCATTTCATATTTGGGTTGTAATATAATTTTAAATATTGTTTTCATATTTGGGTTGTAACATTTTAATAAGTTTTTCCTGCACTTCAATTTGTATTTGAGTTGTAACTTCTTATTCAGTTTTACTTATGCATCATAATTTGATATGATGATATGTGATGATATGATTATATGATATGAGGCATAATAATCCAAAGTTTTGAATGATATGTGATAATATGATTATATGATATGAGGGCCTGAAACTGAAAACAAATGGCCTGAAATTGAAAACAGGGCCTGAAATTGAAAACAAATTGGGCAAAATCTTCAAAACAGGGCCTGGATTTGAAAACAAATTAGGCTTCGCAGTAAGCCCACAACCGGACCGTTAGGTGTCGGACGGTAACCGGTTGCAAGAGATCGGTGCGGTAACCGAACCGAAAACAGCACTACTTTGTAGAATAACATGCAATTGTTTTTGCAAGCGTGGATTTTTTCATAACCCAATCCAAGACCACTCAACATCTTCTGCGCCTGTCTGTGGTCTTTCGGCAAACAATTGTCCATTGGAAGCATTCTCTTGAAAAACCCCAAAAAGTAATCGAAACACAGGTTCGACATACGATACTTTATTTTTCCGTGCATTAGCTTCACAATCGCCGTTAGAACGGAAAAGCTCTCGCACCCCGGATATAACTCTTGGTTGGCATTTCTTAACAGTTTTTCATACTGTTCGAACTCTGCACTATCCGTTGGTGTAGGCACATCATTTTCCCCTTGCTGATTGCTGCTCGTCAATGCAAATGGAAAAGCATCATTTATAATATCCATCACTTGTTCATTAGGATCCACAATAGGTTCAACATTGTCCACTCTTGTGGCCTTTGAAGACGAACCAATGTCTAATTGTTCCCCGTGATGGTTCCAAATGCTGTATGTCTCAATCATTCCATTCCTTACTAAATGAAATCGAACAGTTTCAATTGTCTCCTACAACATGTTGTTACATTTCCTATAAGGACACCGGAGTGATGGTTCCAAGTGCTGTATGTCTCAATCATTCCATTCCTTACTAAATGAAATCGAACAGTTTCAATTGTCTCCTACAACATGTTGTTACATTTCCTATAAGGACACCGGATTCTAGTTGCACCCGGGTTGTGTGACCGTGCAAAGTGAATAAAGTCCTCGATTCCATCCAAGTATTCGTCTGCACACCTGTTAGGGTTCTGTATCCACCTTCTGCTCATAATTCCTGGAACCACAATCACAATACAACAATCATGTTGTATTCTTACAAAATCATAATTTCACCTTATGCCTCTGGTAAGGGCCCTATCCCATTCGGAAATGCATAGTCATGCCACGTAATTTACAGCTACATGATATTAGATTTCGACGTGGATGAATTTCGGCAGCATCTCGGTACAATTCTTGAGGTGTACCGTAGATATAAAATACCTACGTACCACCCGAAGAACGTACCGAGATGACACCGAAATCTCCACAATCGAAACCTAATCTTGTAGTTGTAAACTACGTGACACGACTACGCATTTCCGAACTGTCCAAAATATGGGACAATTCAAGAATTAATTGGACCGTAGTCGTGGTTTACCCAACCATGCGCGGTCCAACTAACCTCAAACGGGAACTAAGCTTTACACACAAAAAAAATGTACGAAGTTAATTGAAATTAACTTCGTACATCATCATGCATAATTGAACAACATAATATAAATATAATTTGACAACACAATATAAACATAATGTAATTAATTTTATATAATACCTTCTCAATCGTTCTCTACCATTCGCTAATCACATATAACATCCTTATATACAACGAAATTCATGCGTTAGTATGAATTTATAGTAATATTTTTACACTAACGACAAAAAATACATACCCAATGAACGTACCTGAGGCAGAGATAGTTTAACTCATAAACGAAATGAAATTGATGCGTTTGATTGCCCTATAACGTTCGAGACAGAGGGATTGAGAGGCTGCCATGGCTGAAACTGACTAAAGTAATAAACGACGGTTTTGCACGACGGATAAAGTGTTTTGTCGCGCAAAGTTCTGAGTCTTTGCGCGACAAAAACATAAATGCGTCGCAAATTTTTCGCCGTGCAAACGTCTTTGTCGTCCAGCAAAATTTTTTTTTCCGGCGCGCATAGTTGTGCCAACATCCATTTTTGCGCAACGGAGTCTAGTTGATCCGTCGCTCAAATTCTACACGTCGTCGCGCAAGAATACAATCACTTTGCGCGACCAATATATCGTCGCGTAATATTTCGTTGCGCAATCATTTGGCGCCAAATGCGATCAACCCGCGTTTTTTTTCCCGCTTGTTCTTTGCGCGACAATCAAGATTATTTGTCGCGCATTATAACTTAGCGCGACTAAAAATTTCGTCGTGCAACTTTTGCCGCCAAATCCACGGTTAGGTGCCAATTTTCGTTACTATATGCGACGATATTATCTTCTGTCGCGTAGAGTTTCTTTGCGCGACGAACAATTTCATCGCTCTGATTGGCGGTACGCTTTGATATTTCCATCGCGCATGGTTGTTTCGTGCGATGATTATTTCTTCGTCGCGCAAACTGCCGTCGCGCAAGTAGAAAAATGTAGTAGTGATTATATATACTAGCCTCTCCGCACATGCAGAAGGCTTTTTGAAAAAAAAATTTTAATTTATTTTAGAATTAAAAAAGATAATGGGTAGTTGTGTTCCATAAAAATAGGATCCATTATTTTATTTTTCTTTTAATTTTTAATTTTTTGAATATGAAAAAGTGTGAATTTACCATATTATCCTCATTTAATTAATAATTTCAATTCTTAATGTTTGCATTAACCAATGACATTTTCTGTTATTTTGAATGTTTTATCATTCTCAGTATTTTGTTTTATATATATAGATCCAAAACTTTAGATTTTATTTCTCCATACCAAAAATTATTTAATAAACTTCCTAATTATGGTTTTCTAAAAACATTTGGTTGTGCTTGCTTTCCATATTTGAGACCTTACAATCATAATAAGCTTCAATTTCGTTCCACTAAATTAATTTTGTTAGGCTATTCTCTTAATCACCAAGGTTATCGGTGCATGGACCTTTCCACCAACTGGGTGATTTTATCTCGTCACACTACTACGTTTTTCTATTTGCGCGACGATAGTTTGCGCGACGAAGAACAAATCGTCGCATAAAAGATCATAGCGCGACGGACAATCATATGCGTAGCGCAAACAAGAGCGACGAAGGAATGTCGTCGCGCAAAACAACTACGCGCGACAGAAACAATACCGTCGCGTAAAAGAACTTTGCGCGACGATACCTTGAGCGACGAATAACTAATCGTCGCACACAAGACCATTGCGCGACGGACAATCATATGCGTAGCGCAAATTAGAGCGACGAAGAACTTTCGTCGCGCGAAAAACATTTTGCGCGACAGAAAAAACGACCGTCGCGTAAAAAAAGGGAAAATAACGCGAACAAATATTATGGCGCCTAATTCTTGCGCGACGAATCAACTCGTCGCAAATGAAATCTTTGCGCGACAAAACACATGTCCGTCGCGCAAGGTACGATATACATAACCATTAATCCGAAGCCTTAATTTTAATTTTACCATCTAAATCATATGTTTTTCATTAATTTTAGTGAAGATCATCATTCATACCCTTTTAATTATGGGAATGGTAGAGGAGAATCTTTTGGTATGGTTATCAACCTTCATACGAATAAA